AATTATAAACATATAAGCACTAAATATTAATGCCCCCAACTATATAAAACAAATATTAAGGGTGAAAAACCAAATAAGTACTAATACAATTATAGCAGGGGATCTAAATACCCCACTATCACAAATAGACAGATCATCTAGGCAAAAAAAAAAAAAAAAAAAAAAAAAAAAAAAAAAATAGGCAAAAAATCAACTGAAATACTAGAACTGAACCAAGCTTTTGAAGGCATGGACTTAATAGACGTCTATAGAGTGTTCCACACCACAAAATCAGAATATACATTCTTTTTGGCTGCACATGGGTCATTCTCCAAGACAGACCACACACTAGCTTACAGGTTTGAATAAATGCAAAGGAAATGAAGCTGTCCCCTGTATATTATCAAATCATAGTACAATCAAGCTGGAGATCAATAGCATAAGAAACCGTAGGAACTTCACAAATACATGGAAACTGAACAACACTCTCCTGAACAGTCAATGGGTCACAGATGAAATTAAAGAAGAAATTAGACAGTTTTTACAAATAAATGATAAAACCAATACAACATACAGGAATCTATGGGCCACAAAGAAAGCAGTTCTACATAGAAAATTCATAGCATTGAATGCCCACACTAGGAAAACAGAGCGAGCTCAAATAAACAACCTAATGATGAATCTTACGCTCCTAGAGAACAGCAAGAAAAACCCAAAGCTCATACGAGAGGAAATTATAAACATGAGAGCAGAAATCAATGCTATGGAAACTAAGAAAATGATACAAAAAATAAATGAATCAAAGAGTTGGTTTTTTGAAAGAATAAAATCGATAAACCCTTAGGTAACCTCATTAAACAAAAGAAAGAAAAGGCTCAGATCCATGCAATTAGCAACGAAAAAGGTGAAGTCACAATAGATCCAACAGAAATCCAGAGGATCATCAATACCTACTTTGAGAAACTGTACTCTAATAAAATGGAAAACACAAGAAATGGACAGATTTCTAGATACTTATGAATTACCAAATTTGAACGAAGATAAAAAATTTTAAACACCCCAATTACAATCAGTGAAATTGAAAATGTAATGAAAAGTTTACCAACAAAAAAAGCCCAGGTCCTGATGGATTCACTACTGAATTTTACTAGACATTTAGAGAAGAATTGCCACTACTCTTTAATCTTTTCAATGAAATTGAAAGGAAAGCAATACTTCCAAATTCATTCCTGGAAGCAAGTGTTACTTTGATTCCCAAACCAGGGAAAGACCTAACTGAAAAAGAGAACTACAGGCCAATCTCCTTAATGAATATAGATGCAAAAATCTTTAATGAGGGCCAGGGATTTAGCTCAGCAGTTCGGTAGCCTGCCTCGCAAGCGCAAGGACATGAGTTTGATCCCCGGTACAACAACAACAACAAAAAAAAATCAAAAAAGACAAAAAAAAAAACAAACAATCTTTAATGAGATACCAGCAAACAAAATACAGAGGATCATCAAGAAGATCATACATCCTGACTAAGTCGGATTTATTCCAGGGATGCAAGGATGGTTCAACATATGTAAATTAATAAATGTAATATACTATATTAACAGAATGAAGGACAAAAACCATATGATCCTCTCAATAGATGCAGAAAAAGCATTTGACAAAATTCAACACACACTCATGACAAAAACCCTGCAAAAAACTGGACTAGGTGGTCTATATCTCAACTCAAAAAACGCTATCTATGAAAAACCAACAGCCAACATCTTATTAAATGGCCAAAAACTGAAATCCTTCACGTTAAAATCAGGAACAAGACAACGATGCCCACTATCACCACTCCTCTTCAATATAGTTCTGGAAATATTAGCCATAGCAGTTAGACAAGAGAAAGAAATTAAATCAATAAAGATAGAAAAGGAAGAAGTTACACTGTCATTATTTGCTATGGTATGATACTCTACATTGAAGACCCAAAAAATTCCACCAAAAGACTTCTAGACTTCAATGACACTTTTATCAGTGTAGCTGGATACAAGATCAACATTCAAAAATCAATAGCCTTCTCGCACACAAATAACAGACTCACTGAAAGAGAAATTAGGGAAACAATTCCTTTCACAATAGCATCCAAAACAAATGAAGTATCTAGGAATCAATTTAATGAAAAGAAGCAAAAGACCTCTACACTGAAAATTACCACACTCTGAAAAAACCAATCGAAGAGGATATGAGAAAATGGAAAGATATCTCCTGCTCCTGGGCAGGAAGACTCAACACAGTGAAAATGGCCATACTACCAAAACTTACTAAAAGCAGAAGGTGACATGATGTGATTCACACTTTTGAAAATTCATTCTGGGGGTCATGCAGAGAATGGGTAGCCGGGGGACAAAAGTGGAAGCAGGGAGCTTAGTGGGGGTCATCAAATAGCGCAGGTGGGACCATGGTGCTTGCACTAGGATGGTGTCAGTGGAGGCAGAGAATCATGGGTGGACTGGACCTATGCTTTTTTGAAGTGAGACAGTAGGACCTGGTGACCTATTAGGGGTGGGAAGTAAGGCAAATATAATTAAGAATGATCCTGGTTTTTGACTGCAGCAAATAAGTAGATGACAGGGCCATTTACCGAGAGAAGATGGAAGGGGGATAAACTTGTGCCTTCTCTTTTAATCAGGGAAAGGACCAAAAATTCTGTTTTAGGATTGTTAACAGTGATGCCATTTAGAGATGCCTGGCAAATCTGAGCTGCTGAGTAGAGGCATTAAATCCTCAAGTCTGGAAGGGAGCATTTGGAGGTGGGAATACACATTTGGAAGGCATCTGTGCTACCATGGTATTTAAAACTTTGGAAGTGGGTGATGCCACTAACTCATGCAGAGAAGGGATGCTGTATCACCCAAGCCCACACTGACCAACAGAGTCATGGGCATATACCACACAATTTCACTCTTCTGGTTCTACCAACTGCTACAATATTAATTGTACTTTCCATATGAAAATACCCTAAGAAATAGAGGCTACAGAAACAGGTGACTAACAGATGAATGATGCCATTCTTCAAAGTTTCTCCCAAACTGGTCAGCAGAGAGTAACTATAATATAAAAGGTAGAACACAGTAAAATATTTTCAAGGGAGTGGAGGGAATCTTCAACAAGATAGTCAGGAAGACAAGATGAGAGCAGTTCTTGGAGGGTCAAGAATGACTGTCGTCCTTGTGTCTAGCTCAAATCTCACCCAGTCCATACAGCACTGCCCATTCTCAGTCTTTATCTTTAAATCCTTCTGCCTTTATTATTTAGTGCCGATCCACTTAGCACTTAATGACACAGTGTCTCTTTTTATTATAGGAACATCTTTTACAAAAATTGGTTTATTAATCCTTCCTAAGTATAATTTGTGACTTAATTTCATAGCCCCTGGCTTGGGCCAAAGAACATAACAAGCCCTCGAACAATGTTTGTTGCTTGAGTATCACCTTTACAGGGAATTACTTTTCCATCTCCAATTAGATCAGGTTCCTTAGACAGCTTAGTTTTTAACTGTATAGCCTTGTTAGTTTAGACATGAGGTGCCCCCCAAAGCTTCATGTGCTCAGAGGTTGGACTTTGTGAGGTGACTGGATCATGGGGTGCTATACTCACCAATGGATTTGTCCACTGGTGAGTTCACTGCTGACTTCCTGTTAGGAGGTGGGACTTGATTAGAGACTGGTCACTGGGGACACGATTGGGGCAGGGTGTATCTGCCTCCTGGGCCCCTCTCTTCTTTCTGTGCTTCCTGGTCAGCACGAGGTGAGCAGATTTTCATCAGCCATGCCCCTCTGCCTTGCTGTTTCTGCCTGGGAACCAGCTGACTGTGGACTAAAAACCGAGCCAGCAATAAATGCTTCGTTAAGTTGCAGGTATCAGGTATTGTGTCCCAGTGACAAAGAAAGTTAAGACAACCCTTGATGACTATGTGAACTGGATCTGTCTTCAGACATACAGGCTCTAAGTAACCAAAGAGCAGAGAGCATATCTGGTTTTACATATGGCCGTGTCCCAAGTCTGTGTACAGTATTTGTTGAAACTGACTGAATAGGAATGGCCTGCAGTGGTGGCAAACCTATGGCATGCGTCCCCAGTTGTTATCAATGAGACCTCTGAAAGAATCGCCATCATGGGCCCTGAGGTATTCAGCAGATCAAGGAGCTGTGAGTAGAGTAGTTTCAGGAATGCTTTGTCTGCAGTTTCTCAAAGAGCAATGAAATGCACACCATAAAACTATACCACAGAGGAAGTTCTTTGGATATATTTCCCTTCTGCTCAGGGCCAACTATTTCCTGGGGGGGTGGCTCTTCTATCCAAAAGAGGCCCCTTGAAGTCAGATTTATCATCACTTAGGACACTGGAGTCCTTCCTTTCCCACAGCAGAGCAAGAGGCAAAGCAGTGTTACCAACTGTCATGAAGAATATGCATGAAGGCAGCAAACATAGATCCCCTAGGCAGATGGAAAGACATATGTGTTTTATATATGTATTTCCTATCAATAAATTCCAGCAAAAACATGAAAATTCAAGAGCACGATTGGGATTTAAGGGACTCTGAAGGTGTTCAATTCCTTAAAGAAAGTTAGCTGTAGATGATTTCAGGAAAAAACAAACAAAAAACCCAAAAAACTAAGAGTACTACTGAATGATCAAAATTTCCCCCTTAAATATATTAATCTCCTTCTCCAAATTAGGCACATTCAGCTTTTCCTTGAAGAAGTGCATTTCCCAGATCAGCCAAAAAAAAAAAAAAAAAAAAAAAAATCCCACACCTCT